TTTTGGTCAGCTGAGGGCATAATTGGGACTGAAGTGACGACCCTTCAATTGAAAACGACCTCGGCACCCATGTTAGACACGTTTCGCAAGGTCAATACTCAATACTGCTGTGGCTGAATGGCGCTATTGGGTGCTTACCGTCGGGGATTGCATTAGTCTGCAGATAACCTGCACGAAACAGTGCCGATAAGCTGCCACCCTACCGAAATTTGACTCACGATCGTATTCCTTTTTTACCTTTTCTCGGCAGTAAACGACCATGGAACAATAAGGTCAAATGTGGGAACCGTTGAAGGGAAAGCGATATTGAATAAAACAAAGAGTGAAAAGCCATCATTATGACCGAAGAAAAAGTTCCCGAGCTAGCCATGGCCTCCTCGCCATTGACGCCGGATATTCCGGAGTCGAGTGACCGTGAAGTCATGGAGGCAGATCTTCCAGAGGAATTGAAAGAGCTGGAGAGGAGACTTCGCTGGAAAGTGGACTTGCGCCTCTGTACCATTGCTGGCATTCTCTGTAGTCTCAATCTGCTCGACTCCGGCATCCTTTCATCGGCCTCCGTGACTAGTATGCTTAGCGATCTTGACCTTGAAGGTACTCGATATTCGGTATCGATATTCATCTTTACCATAGCTTCCGTCATCTTTCAACTCCCCTGCACGGTTGCAGTGCGCTGGGTCGGCCCGCGGATTTGGTTTGCGTCTATCACATTTTGTTTCGGCCTGCTTACTCTCTGTACGGCGTTTGTTCAAACGTGGAAACAGCTTATTGCCCTTCGTGTGCTTCTAGGCATGGCCATGTCCGGTATATACCCGGGTTTAACGTACCTTATCAGCACCTGGTACACCCGTCGGGAACAACAGCTCCGATTCGCATTTCTCCAATCGGGAGAGGTCACCGTGATGGCGACAGGCACGATTGTCAATTACGGTCTGAATCACTTAGATGGACGGGCGGGATTGAGCGGCTGGCGCTGGATGTTCCTTGTCCAGGGACTTATCACCTGCGTCATTGGTATCATCACGTATTGGTGGATGGTCGATTTCCCTGAAACAGCACATCGAAGCTTCTACTTCCTATCTGAGGCGGAGGCGCAGTTAGCCGTACAGCGTATCCAGGCCGATCGCGATGATGTGGTGCCTGAGTCATTTACATGGAGCAAAGTCGCTGTGAACTTTTTGGACCCTAAGCTGTACGGGTTTGCATGTATGTTTTTTATTCTCAATTTAGTTTCCACCGCATTGTCTTATTTTCTCCCGATCATTCTTCAATCGGGAATGGGGTTTTCTAGCAACGCAGCTATCATCCTTTCGACGCCGGTATGTCCCTTCTTCTCTAACGTTGCGTTCTTTCTCTGTACGTTGCAATACGTATTCTAACCTGAGCAGCCATATTATTGGTCAGTCGTACCGGTCCTTTTCACTTCTCTCGTTGGAGACACGTACCGGTTACGGGGGCCACTGATCACGTTCAACGCCATTTGTCTAATAGCGGGCTTCTTGATGTTCGGCCTCCCTTCCTCCACTCAAGTTACTGTGCGGTATATCGGGACATTCTTGGCCACTGGAGCATACGTCTCCAATTGGGCGGCACTGAACGCGTTCATGGCAAACAATGTGGTAGGCCAGTGGAAACGCGCCACCACCGCGGCTGCAGTGTCTGCCTGTAACGGTCTGGGAGGAGTAGCGGGTAGTTACATTGTCCGACAACAGGAGGCCCCGCAGTATCAGACTGCTGTATGGGTATCGGTGGGGTACGTGTTGATACGTCAAGTGCTTTAAGGGGCTTGAGCTGGGGCTTACTGAAGCAGATCTCATATTCTCATGATTGTCATTGTGGGTGTGTTTACCCTCGCCTTTTACAGTTGCAACCGTCAGCAGAAGAGGGGGCAACTAGTTATCCAAAATAGAGTAAGTGCTTTCTCGTTTAGAATAAGTATTGCCTGATTTAATTGCTAATCTGCGCAGGCTCACTTTCGGTATACCTATTGATTTGAAGGCTGTCCAACGAATCCATGATCTTTAAGAGGATAAAAGTACCTATCATGAATATAGCTAATGTTCAACTATTGCATAGATTTCTCAACTGACCGTCTTGAACGTCGGTATTATTGTACAACACCATGGCATGAATATAGCACCTACGCCTGGAACAATTTGATTGACATATCACTGCGCTTATCACATGTAACCCCCAACCACAAAACAGTCTACTGTTTGACACCATTCCCGTCAGCTTTAGCAGTACCACTAGCAACCTCACCCCCTTTAAACTCCGGCTCAGCAACCAACGTACTAGCATCATAAGATCCAAAATCCCGCAACTTGACCCCCAAATGAAACATGACATCAACCTGCTCAAGAGTCTTACCCCGGCACTCGGGCACGAAAAAGAATGTGCAAACGAACGCGACAACCGCAATGGCACCAAAGATGAATCCAACCTTGGAGTTTAGACCTGCATATTCCGCATCTACAAGGTAAGGGATGGTGAAGTTGACGACAAAGCTGGATGATGCATATTAGCCTCTGAGACAATAGATAAACACAGGGTAAAAGGAGGACAGGGCAGAGAACAACATACTTAGAAACGACATTGACAACAAACCCCAACTGCAGCGTCATGTCTCTCAACCGCAGCGCAGGTAGCTCGGTGGCTACTACGTACGTTTGCGGTCCCCAACCGAGAGAGAACCCCAGTGCCATGACCACGTACATACCCACTACGCCTTTCTTCAAGTCGGTTGTCATGGGATTCGGAGTCCCTAGACCTCCCATCGTCAATAGGCCTGCTGCCATGACTGCAGAGCTGGCTAGGAGCATGGGTCTGCATTAAAAAGGCGTCAGCATAGCCTGTCAACTGGTATCACAAGGACATAAAGGTATAAACAAGGAAAAGGTGAACCATGCCTCCTCCCAACCCGATCGGTATATGCCAACGAGCCAATGATCGACACCAAATTCAAAAGCGAAAGCACAACCGTCATATCAAAGGGATTGACAGTACCCAACTGCTTAACATAAACCGCTCCATACTGAGATGAAAATGCCTGCCCAGTACCCTGCTGAAAGAAATTGACCATAAAAACGAGCGCCGTTCTCTTCAGATTAACTCCCTTGACCAGGTCGACCCAATGGCCTTTTTCAACCTCTTGTTCGAGAACGGTTTGAAGCTCATGGAATTCGTCGTTGATCTGTTCGGTAGTGAAACGTCCCTGGCGCAGTTGCCGGAGACTAGCTTTGGATTCTTCTACGCGGCCTTGTTGGAGGAGCCAGCGTGGGCTCTCAGGGACGAACCATATCAACGATAGGACTATTGTTGGGACGATGTAGAATAAACCAAGGGGGATGCGCCAGGCTCGGTCATCTTCGATTTTGCTTGTACCCCGGCAGATGGAGTTGATGATTAGACCACCTAGGATGATACTGAATTGGTAGGTACCTACGGCGAGGCCTCGGACTTGCGCCGGGACTATACAACGATTCAGTGTCGGTGAACCAAAGGTAGTATAGGTTTGATGGGGCTCACCTATTTCAGATTGGAAGGTTGGGACAACAGCCAACTCCATCCCAACATAGACGTAGTTCAGGATTCGAGCAGCGAGGATCTGATCACGGTTTCTAGAGGTAACTGTGATCGTGGCCGTGATCAGAGCGTAGCAACTCATCGAAAACATGCACCAACGTCGACCGAACCGGGCGGATATCTGACTGCCGATGAGCACGCCTGACTAGTTAGCACATACGGCGTTTGTCGTTGCAGTGGGACATACCAGCAGCAAATCCGATGTAGTTTAGACTGTTGAACAGCGATAGCCAGGCTGGGTCCAGTGCATACTGCTTCGTTCTAGGGCTATAGTCACCGAAGCGTTTGTCGAAGGCGTCCATAGCCTGCGTTGTAGCAAAGCCTTGGTTATCGAAGCCATAGTTGAAGGAGGAGATAGCTATGAGGATGCAGGCTAGGGCTAGTCTGGTGTTGAAATATGCAAGGAACTGTGGACGTTTCATGCTGGACATCTGTAACGGGTATGGGCCACAATGGTCATCTTGAGGTGAAGTGTGTGCGTAAACGGTATATATAAGTATATTGCCATTTACACCAGATCATAACCATCTTGCTATAGTGTCTGATGAGACAATATCCCATGTCATTGGCATCATCTCCATGCCGGGTCGGTTTTCAGGGCGATATCTCGTTGCTAAAAGATGTCGGTTGTCGGGGCCGACGCTGCGGGGATGGATAACCCTAAATAGCATTGGAGCTAGTATGTACACATGGACTCCCGGGAAATGCTGGTCTTAACTTATTCTGACTGTTGGATCTGGGTTTCATCTTCGATTTCCGGTGTCTTGTGTACTGACATACTTATAATGCCTCTCTTTCGGATGTCGTGTAACCTGAGCTGTTTGAACTGCATTCCGATCTAGCTAGGAAGTTGCTTTGACTATGAGTTGGTGAACTGGTCTAGAAGAATATCCCATATAGCCTCACGACTTTTGTTCGTATTGTGGATCAACAGCAGATCACGCAATTTAGTGGCCCACCCCCGCAATCACAACTAGTGCTGGACCAATCAAACTATCCACGGTGCTACTATATGCCTGCCCTCGATTCTTAATATTGAAATGTCCCTCCGTTTACCATTGAATCACAAATTGTCCATATCACATTTGGCACGACATGGCTACACCCATAACAGCAGGATTGAGTCAGAGACACAGGACCTGCCAGCAGTGTAGACTAAGAAAGGTGTGTGGAGAACCTAAGGCCCGCATATACTCAAGCTCATTTATGATATAGGTCCGCTGCGATGGGCGAAAGGGCATTTGTAGCAACTGCGACCGACTTCAGTTCGCCTGCTCTTTTCAAAACCTGGACTCATCGTCTCCCGCACTAGAAAGGCCGGAGCGGCTTCGAGCTCGACAAGCATGTAGTCGTTGTCATTCTTTGAAAGTCCGCTGTAGTGGGCATCTCCCTGCATGTCTCCGTTGTCAAAAGCGAGGAAGGGATTGTGTCTATTCCTCGAGCCCACTGAAGACTGGGAGCACGGGTGAAAGAAAAGCTCCCAAGGATGTTCCACAGCGGTCTGCAGAGCAAGAGGAGCGGACAAATGTTGAGCCTTCGACAACCATTACGTGTGTGAATCATATATGTTCTTTCTCGCTATGCTAATGCAACTGACGGGCCTAGCACGGATGTCTTTAGAAATCCGGACAATATACAAATCCAAGTAGCCCTGGACATTTTCTTTGAGCGCATCTATCCCCTTCCGGGATATGCCTTTCTGCACCGCGCCTCGCTGTATGACCGGTTTCACAGAGGACAGGCCGACCAGAGCCTCCTTCTCTCAATCATCGCTGTTTCGACTTGTTTAACGGAGACAGACTCGTCGAAGCGTGAGTACGCGGCTCAATGCCTGACAAAGGCAGAACAGCTCATCATTAACAATCTCTCACAACCGTCCATCATTCGAACGCAGGCATTACTTTTGATAGTTCGGTGTAAGATGTGCCTTGGGGAGTATTCCTCTGCATTTCCGCTTGTGTCGCTACTTTCTCGGTTTGCCTTTAGTTTACGATTGAATTACGATAACCAGAGAGTTTGCTTTCTGGCCCGGGAAGCTCGTCGCCGTCTGATGTGGGCCATCTATATGCTTGACCAAACATGGGCTGCGGGACTACTAGAATTCACCACCTGCCCAGTAGATGCTATCTATGTTGGCCTTCCGTGCCCCGAGGAGACATGGGAGTTGGATGTTTCCCCGGAGACCGAAGTACAACTCAAGTCACAGACTAAGCTTCCTGGATTACTAGCAGCAAATGTCTGCGTGTCCTACTTAAGGGACAAGGTTCTGCGGTACGTTTTACTAGTAGATCCTACAATGTGCGCGTATTGGGTATACTAAGAAAATAAGCCATGCAAAGCGATTTGCCGCCGGGAATTGCAGTGCCATTGAGATAATGTATGGGATACGAGAGCTAGAAACTGAGTTAGAGCAGTTCTATCTCCGACTGCCTCCATCAAGTGCCTATTCAGAGAGGAATCTAAGGCTCCGTACTCATTCATCCTGGTTGCCTCGGTTTATTGTTCTACATGTCCTATGGCATCAATGCTACTGTGATTTGTATCGCTGCATCACTAATGGACTAATCGAGTCTGTTCCGGCATCCACCTTGAATGAATTTGATACTGCATTTGTTCTCAGGTGTTGGGAACAGTGCACACACCATGCAGTACAGATTGCAGGTATTCTTACCTCGCTGACCGATCTCAGGTTGGAGTTCTCAATCCTTCCACTGGACATGGCTGTTTGTGCGTACCAGTGCATACGCCTCCTCCTCCATGGGCAGAGGGTATATGGGCATAAGGTACCAGTATCCCGCGAGAGGATCAAGCAATACCAACGGTCATGTTTGCAAATTATACAGACCGTAGCTCGGACCTCACCTTCTGTTCAGACAATCGTAAGTCAGTGACTAGATGGTAGGTAAAGTAAGTAGCTGACATATCTAGGAACGTGACCTCAAAGATCTTATCGACGAAACTCAGGATCATAACGCTCATCCAGAGAACCGCCTTAAGCACACCCAACAGCAAGGCCCTCGCCAGATCCTCTCCATTCATAGCCTAATTGCTAGATCGGAATTCGTCGACGATAGTGAGGAGCTAGCACTCGAGGATGCACATGCTGGCGACAACCTCTCTGCCTATGAGAAGCATAATCACGAATACGGCGGACCACTAGGCACGTTGAGGCTACCATCCCCGTTGCCCAGTTTGGATCCTGCGGAGGATATGACACCAAGCTCAATAGTGGCAAGCCAAACGTGGCTACAGGGTGGCAATGCATTTGAGGGAGCATGGGATCAACCCGGAATAGGGTTTGATTTGATCCGACAGATGCAATGGGATGGTATGGGGTACTTCTGTTGATATTCTTTACTACTGTGATGTCGAATAAGTTCAATACTACGTAATAATTGATATTTTATCTAGTACCCTCACCAGTCCTTTCGAGAAAACTATTTCTCATGACCACATGCTCATTCTATCCCCAGTCTGTAGTTCTATTTCAGAGTCGAGAGTAATCGTGTTCCAGGAGCCTCGACACTCCGCGAGACTCGTGGGACTCGGCCTGCCTAGATCTACATAGATATCCGATGTTCCTATATAAAGGCACTAAAATACAAAGAGATCTTACATATAGACTTCCCGACTATGAGTTTTCGTATGTCTCTCTAGTAATATTCTTTTCTTTTGTTTTGCCAATGTCTACTTTTCATTTGTCAACAGTGTAGACTTCGATTAACTCGTCATCCATGACAGCGGCCCTTCACTTCTCGAGACGTCCGTCCAATTTACCTTGCAAGCCTCATTGGTGTTGGAAGAATTGGGGCCATTACCGACTGATCGTCACATGAGCTCTAATAAACTGCGGATGGTATCATCAGGTGGATTTTTGACGGTGCACGTAGTGGACTCCACCCCGACAACCGACAATCGGTAGACCGACAGCCGATATGCCATTCCAGCAACCCTAACTACATATATGCTCAAGCAAACCACCAACTCCATACATCAAGTAGACAAATAAAAAAGCCCACCAAACTACACCACAGAAATGACAGTAACAACAACAACTACTACTACCACCACCACCAAAATGCCCTCCAAAAAACCCAATCTCGTAATCTTCATGCCCGACCAACTCCGCTACGACAGCCTCTCCTGCACCTCGACTCCCAAAACCACCTTCCTCAAAACTCCCAACATCTCCTCCTTCGCATCCCGAGGCACTATCTTCACAAACTGCTTCACCCAAGCCTCCGTCTGCTCCCAATCCCGCTGCAGCATGTTCACCGGAACCTACCCGCACGTCAGCGGCCACCGCAGTCTCGAAAACCTCATCAAACCCTGGGAACCCAACCTCTTCCGTAGCCTAAAAGAAAACGGCTATCATGTTGCTTGTCTCGCGCCCCGCGGTGATACCTTCGCGCCTACTGTTACAGAGCTCTCCGTAGATGAGTACGGGTTCCTCGAGACACCCGAATTCGTACCCCGATTCTCGGGTGATAAGGCCAATGATTCCAAGGATGAGAGTATCTGGGGCCGACTTTTCTACAAGGGATTGAGGAATGCGGCCGAGGCAAGCGATTACGATGATGCCGTTGTACGGTCTGCGTTGCGGTGGCTAGAGTGTCCGCCTCAGGATAAGCCCTGGGTCCTCTTTATGCCGTTGATTTTCCCGCATTGTCCGTTTCAGGTTGAGGAGCCTTACTTTTCGCTGTATGATCGGGATATCATCCCCGAGCCTGGGGCTGCGCCGGGGGAGAAGACCGGGTATGAGCCGCGGTATATGCAGGTGATTCGGGAACGGTACGGGACTGGACGGGCGACAGGGGAGATCTGGCAGGAGCTGAAGGCGACATATTATGGGATGATATCCAGATTGGATGATCAGTTTGGACGGGTGGTTGGGAGGTTAGATGAATTGGGGCTGTGGGATGATACCATTACTATGTTTTTCACTGATCATGGTGAGTATCTAGGTGATCATGGATTGATTGAGAAGTGGCCGTCTGGACTGTCCGACTCGCTTGTGCACGAGCCGTTGATTATTGCCGGTAGAGGACTACCCCAGGGTCAGGTTTATACTGGCATGGCGGAGATGGTGGATCTTGTGCCCACTGTTCTTGAGCTTTGTGGTATCCCTGAGCAGTTTCCGCATAATGGGCGGTCGTTGGTTCCTGTCCTACGGGATCCGAGTCTGGGGCATAAGGAGTATGCATTTAGTGAGGGTGGGTTTCTGACGGCTGAGGAGCCGTTGCTTGAACAAGCTCCTTATCCGTATGATATTAAGGCTGCATTGCAGCATGAGGATACGACGCTGGTTGGGAAGGCGGTTAGTATTCGTTCGTTGGAGTGGACGTTTGTCTATCGGTTATATGAGCCGGCGGAACTGTATCATCGGCAACGGGATCCGGAAGAAATGCATAATCTGGCTGCGGAGCCGAAGTATGTGCCTGTGGCTAGGATGTTGGAGGCGGAGGTGTTGAGATGGTTGTTCGAGTCGTCGGACTTTTTGCCGTGGACAAAGGATACGAGGTTTCCTGAGGTGAAGCTGAAGTCACCGAAAGAGCAGTTGGAGGAGCGGTTGCGAATGAGATATCCTGGAGAGAGCAATTAGATGTATGGTCATGGTAGTTGGTTTCGAAGCAGTATTTTACAGACTAATGCACGGTGATGCACCCCATTCACCGCTGTATGTGCGATGGCAACATTGTGGGAGCATTGGGCGTGTCTCCTGCAGGCTACAGGCCACCGCCTATACTGTATGAAAGGTTATTTTTATCATTCAATTCTATTATTGTGGGGAGCTTGATGTTGCCAAGAGGAGGTGAACGCCTCGGCTGAGGTGTTGTACTGACGTAGGGCGCGGAAAGATCGTGCTGATCCCGGGGTTGTCTGGATATCATTTCCTTTTCACGAATCTTGCCAGCTGGATACAAAATATAATAGGACCACCCTTGACCCAGTGGTGCTGATAATCCCACTCATGGTCCTTTAAGCGATTCTTTCGCACCCTACTCTGTCAGTACCAAAGTAAATCCATCAGAAAGAGTGGAGAATCCACGATCACACCGACACAAATACGTGGCAATGCGGCGCTTTTCAGCTCTTGTCTACAGCCTTGTGGCTTGGAGATCTATCGATCTACTAGTTATATTATGGGGCCCCGGTCTCCTTGGTCACATACAACACAATGGATTTCCTGCACAAAATGGAGTCCCAACCCGGTGTGATCCCGTCAATTAGCTATGCTGAGCTTTTTCACGACGACTCTGATACAAGATATGCGGCCACTATACAGCTCATACAAGCTCTAAAAGCCCATGGGGCCTGTCGGATTCGAGACTACGGAATCTCGCAAGATATTATTGATAATTGCTTGAAAAGGTCACCGTGCAATTGTTCCCATAAGACCATCTTCTTCAATCGAATGCTGATTGATTTTACAGAGCGGGGATTTCTTTGAAAGAACCCTTCAAGAGAAAGCCGCCGACTGCTCGAATTCGGGGGCAACAACCAAGTCCCGGTTTGTTCCATTCGCAAGCGAGAAGATCCGTGGAGAAGCACATCGGAGTGAAGCCGTGGAACTCCAATATGGTGTTTACGAATCGGCAGGGAATTGGTCCCAGCAAGGAAGACGACTGGCAGATGCCTCGAGACTCTTCCATGAGCTACGCTATTATGCCAATTGCACCGCAAAACATTCCGTACAGTTGCAAGACCTGACCAAAGAGGAGGAACGAAAAGGAATGCAACCGCATCGTGTTTAATCTTCTGGACTGCTTATCTTCGTCCCTGAATCTGCCTCGGTCCTTAAGCACCATCCACAGCAAACAAAACTCCTTCTTCGCTCCATATCACTACCGCTTCGAAGATGACCAAGAAGACAACAATCCCCTCCGCGTGCCTCCGCACATCGGCCCAACGACCATGCTCTTCTGCTTTCAAGACTCATACGCTGGCCTCGAAGTCGCTGACCTTAGTAATCAGTCTGGCAAGCTATCCACAACGGCCATCGAAAAGACTGCCATCTTCACTCCGACGAACCCCCAGCCTAGTGAATTCGTTCTTCTGGTCGGCCATGTTTTGAGGAGACTGGTTAATGGGGTGAAACATTCTGTACATCGCATCAAGCGACCAGTAGGTACATCGGGGTATCATTTGAATTACTGGATAATTCCGGACTTGAATACGGACTGCGATTTTGCGGATAAAAAGGAAGATGTGACTGGGTATTTGGCAAGGGTGTTTCCGGCGGCACTGCAAAATACTGTCCAGGTATAGGAATGTTCAGGTTTCTAGCGCGCTGGATGGATTAGCCAGGCTGAGTTTCTCAAACTTCCCTTGATAATCTGGCTCTGCTTGACAGGAAACATGCTGCGGGTCTTTCATCGTCAAAACACCCACGGTATCTCCAACAAGAGTTTATGTCTTGCCAAGCCCTAGGCACTCACAGGCCATCGGCGTTCCCACATGTCTCCACTGAGCCCTTCCCCACAGTTATATCCTATTTCCCTCTTAGAGTCCCTTGTAGACTCCCAGCGCGTGTCCTAGCTCCTCCGTGGCCCTCTCCCCCAGCTCCCATCGACACTTTTCGTCATGATTTTAGGCGTGTTGGCGCGTGTACCCGTATGCTCTTTCTAGCCACCCAGGCCTGTCTAGCAGGTCCAGTGTAGCAAGACTGAATCTTGCTACACGAAAACAAGACACAATGTATGTGCAGCTATTTTAACTACCCAGGACTCAAGAACCCTAACAGCAGATTGTCATGGGCAAGAAAACGTATTGCTTCGCGGCTTTGCCGCTCCTGTTTCGCTACATCGAAGTGTACTGCATAGGCCAAGAGCAAAATGGGAAATTTAGCATAAGCCATATGTCATTGCCCTTTGACAGCCGTTGTCATTGTAGACGTAACTATCTTGAACAATACCGGGGCACCTTCTTGATTTCCAAGCTATGTAGCCATCGCATTCGTATTCATGATAATATTGAATGGTATAGGCTACACCTGAGAGCACAGGGCATTCAGCATTTGCCCAAGTGCTTCCCGGAAAGAAGGTCCGGAATTCCTGGATCATGAACACCACCAAGCATAGGATTGAAGGTTTTGCTACGCAAGGCCCTTGAGCGTGCTTGAGCATCATGCCATCTTAAACAGAACAATTAATCTATATTCATTTTGGAACGCCTTCTATATACATCATAACTAAGTCATCACAACTCAACAAACTCATGCTTCAAAAGTTCATCCTTCTCGACCTGTCCCAGGTAACCATGAACCTTCTCGGTCAAGGCATCAATGTCATAACCGAAGTATTTGTACGCCACCTTGCCAGGCAAACTGTGACCGAAGCGCTTAATACAGACGCCAGCGTCCGCATACCGCTCCCAGCCGTTAGGTGCATAAGGCTCGATAACAACGGCAGGAATACCACGGTGCCTCTGCAGAACAGAGCGCTTGTATTCGAGGGATTGTTGTTCGAACAAACGCTGGCAGGGGAAACTGATCACCCGCGCGACGATGCCCTTCTCCTCGAGCTTATTGGCGACCTCCAGGGCGAAGGACAACTCTGCGCCCACACCGATGAGGGTCACAGCTGCGTTCTCGGCCTCCTCGAGAACATATGCACCGCGTGCGACACCGTCGCGACGGGTTTGCTTCAACTGGGGCAGAGTGTGACGGGAGGTGGAGATAATGGTGGGTGTCTTCTTGGCTTCGATGGCGGCAATCCAGGCACCGGCGGTTTCTTCGCTATCACCGGGGCGGATGTAGAGAAGGTTGGGCATGGCACGGTATAATGCGGCCAATTCGATGGGCTGATGAGTGGGGCCGTCCTCTCCCATACCGATGGAGTCGTGTGTGGCGGCGTGGATGATCTGGAGGTGTTGCAATGCGCCCATACGCACGGCGGGGGCAGCGTAGAGGTAGAACATGAAGAAGGACGAGGTGATAGGGATGAAGGTGTTAGGGGCATAGGCGGCCAAGCCGTTGGAGATAGCGCACATGGCGTGTTCGCGCACACCATAGTGGATGTAGCGACCGCCATAGTTGCCGTTGATGCCGCAGGTGGTGCGCAGATCAGGCTATAAAAGTCAGAATGGCTCAGCTAATCGTTCAGGGTCGGGATGACTTACGTGTTGGAAGTCTACCTTTCCAGGCCAGATCATGTTTACAGATGGCGAGAGGTCAGCAGTACCGACCATGAAGTTCTCAATCTCCTTAGCAATGGGGTTGAAGACCAAGCCCGACGAGGCTCGTGAAGCGGTAGGCTTCTCTGGGAAGCTGGCGGGGATCAGGTCCTTCCAGTTGGATGGCAACTCTCCGCTCATGCGGCGCTGGAATTCTGCGCCAAGCTCAGGGTACTGAGCGGTATATTGCTTCACAAGGTCCTTCCATTCCTGGACAAGAGATTCACCGCGTGCAGGAAGATCCTCGAAGAACTTCCGTACGGTTTCTCCGATAACAAAGTGCTCATCTGGGTTGAACCCGTTCTCCGTCTTCATCTGGGCCACATTGGGAGCTCCGAATGCAGCACCGTGGGCTGCGGCCTGACCGGCAACATTGCTTCCAAGGCCAATGACTGTGCGGACGTTGATGAATGTTGGCTTCTCTGTGGAGGCGCGAGCCTGTTCCAGCGCGCGTACAAGGCCTTCGACATCGTAGCAACCGTCTTCCACGTCGATCACGTCCCACCCGGAGGCGCGCATCTTGCCGTTAATGTCTTCAGTGTTGGTCAGATCGACCGATCCATCACAGGTAATTTGGTTGTTGTCGTAGATGACAGTCAAGTTATTAAGCTTCAGATGACCCGCATACGAGATAGCCTCCAATCCAACACCCTCCTGCAGGCACGCGTCTCCAATCATACACCAGGTGTGGTTGTTAACAACATCGTATCCTGGCTGGTTGAACTTCGCGGCCAAGTTCTTGGTCGCCATCGCCAATCCGACGGCATTAGCAACACCCTGACCCAGGGGTCCGGTGGTGACTTCGATACCCTCGTGTTCGATCTCAGGGTGGCCAGGGCAAAGTGCGTCAATGCGATCCGAGTGGTAGGATTTAAGTTGGTCAAAGGTCATCGCCTTGTACCCGGTCAAGTGCAGGAAGGAGTACTGGAATAGACAGGTATGGCCATTGGACAGAACGAAACGATCGCGGTTAAAGAAATCGGGGGTGTGTGGAGCATAGCGCATCACATATCGCCAGAGAGCGACACCTATAGCGGCCATACCAATGGCGCCACTGGAGGTTTGAAGTCAGTATCCTCAGTATTCAACGTCTGCTGGCTAACATACCCAGGGTGGCCTCCTCCAAATTGCTGGCATAAGTCCGAAATGAGCATGCGGAATGTCTTCAACACAATATCATGGTCTTTGGACATTTGTTGAACCAGCGGCAGAGCAGACTTGCCGCTGCCGTTGACGGTAACCGGACCAACAGCCATGATGTATGTATGTATTCGTGAGGATCTTTAATCCGATTTTGTCTTTAACAACTCGCAACCAGGACCCGATCGGACTTATATTTATAACTCGAAGCGCGACCGGGAACTTTTCTGCGCATTACAGAATAGGGTAGGGTGAGCCCTTTTGCCCGATCTGGAAAGTTGAGGCACTTCTGGCCGAAAGAGGCAATCGAAGGGGGACCCACATTTCCTCTTTATCGATAAGACGATCCACATTGGGAACGGCTCTCGTGATTCCAGTGGTTGCAGTTTCCCTCCTCAATTTTCCTGCAAGAATACCCCACAATACCCCATATCACTAAGCATTGCCTTGCAATACGGAGGCCCTCAATATAATATCCACGAATTCCCCCCCACCATGTTTTCTTCTGTCTTTCGCTTTTCATATCCGGATCAAGCAATAATCTCAAAAATACTAATTTTGGTCCATCATGGCGCCCTCTCTCCTTGATCCCAGTCTCAATCCCCCCACAGCCGCTACCTCGGCCAAACAATCTACAGAGACTCTTGTCACGCCTTTCCCCAACCCTTCTCTTCAAGTCACAGCCGATCACAAGCTCAAGGCCATTGATGCACCGGTGTATGCCCCAAAGCACGGCGAAGTCCTGCTTCAAATCAAAGCAACTGGAATCTGCGGGTAAGGATATCGTATCAGTTCAGTGCGCCAGCCTTTACTAACAGTTGAACAACAGTTCCGATCTGCACTTTTGGAAGACCGGTTGCATTGGAGAACTGATCTTCAAGGGCGATTGCATTATCGGACATGAAGCCGCAGGTGTTGTCTTGAAATGTGGCGAGGGAGTCACGCACATCCGTCCTGGTTTGTTTCACCGCAATTGACCCTTTCTACTGAACAGTGTTGACGCAGAAAAAATAGGTGACCGAGTGGCCGTGGAGCCGGGTGTACCTTGCGGGGATTGCTTCCTCTGCCTTGACGGCCGTTACAACCTCTGCGAAGATGTCCAGTTCGCAGGTGTATACCCTTACGCTGGAACAATTCAACGATACAAGACGCACCCAGCCAAATGGGTTCACAAGTGAGTCTTAGCCAATTCTTCATACATTGTGCATTTCTAACCTAGAGCCTAGGCTACCCGATAACCTCACTTACGCCGAGGGTGCCCTCCTCGAGCCCCTCTCGGTCGTTATGCGTGGAATGTCAGTTGCTGGTTTGCAGCTTGGTCGCGGGGCTGTCGTGTGCGGTGCCGGCCCCATTGGACTAATCGCCTTGGCTGCGGCTCGGGCGTCAGGCGCTCATCCTATCGTTATCACAGACCTAGAGCCTAGTCGGTTGGCGTTCGCCAAGGAGTTCGTCCCGAGCTGTATCACATACCAGGTGAACCGCGATCTAGATGCCCAAGGAAACGCCAAGGCAATCCGAGCGCTGTTCGGCACCGAAGAATACTTTGCCCCAGAGACGGTTCTCGAGTGCACGGGCGTTGAAAGCAGTGTATGCACTGCTGCGTTCACAGCCCGCCGAGGCGGTGCGGTCGTGGTCATTGGCGTGGGTAAAGCTGTGATGAACAACTTGCCGTTTATGCATATCTCGCTGGCTGAGGTACGATACCAGTATATCCGTATCTCATTGTGCTCTTATTAACGTTTTCGCTACAGATTGACTTACGCTTCATCAACCGCTACCGTGACACTTGGGCCCCAGCTATCCAGTGCATGAGCGGCGGAATTCTCGATCTCAAGAAACTTGTTACTCATACATTCCCATTAGAACAGGCTGAGTCGGCGTTGCAATTGTGTTCTAACCCGAAGAACCCGAGTATCAAAGTCTTGGTGGTGGACGAGGTGGAAGCCACATTGTAGTGTTATTTTGCGGGAATTGTCTTGTTTACATTTGTTCTGGCGTTGATGATAGAGTGCGAAGTGTGTAACAATTTGATATCGGGCCTAGTTACGAAGGCTACTTGGCTTGCAATTGAAGTTAAATTTCACGAGCAAATTGGAAGAACCCATTGTATAGCTTATTTCCACATAATCACAAGGCGTCACTATCTACTTTCTCCATGTACTGGTCTATTCCTAGAAGCTGTGGAACAACAAATATTCTGAGCCGGTTAGCACTACCACGCAGCATATCAAACCATCTCAGAAATGAATTATACCAGTAATACTCTTGATATTTTTGCACAATTGCATTCCTTTGTATCTTTCGTATTGTCTGTGATTTGTGGACACGTATAGAGGATATGTTTGTGTATCGTGGTCCTTTTCTGGTTAGACTTATGACCACACTCTTGTGATTATGATAAATTTTTCATTCATGCCAGCAACCCTAATCAGCTGGTACAGATTAGGGCCAGAAGATGCTGCTCCAGCCTAGAATATTTCAAGTTAAAGTTAAATATTCTAGTGAATATTGACCCCTTGGCGAGCTAAGCCAAGTGGGACAGTGACCAGTACTGTGATTGTTAGTGCCTTGACGAAGGAACCGCAAAGACTGTACGGTGGGTCGGTGGACGTGTTTGCCTCATTGAAACTCGTCTATCCTTCCCTTTGAGGACTTCTGCAGCCGTACAGATAATGTAATAGGGCATGGTCTAGGCCGTGCCCTGACCAGGCAGCTCTACTAGCACCACTATGGAGTCTTACGCACTACGCTATAGTAAATTCGGACAAGACTGCCAAACGGTCCGATCCGAACCGCTGCAATGTTGATCCATGTTTTTGGTCTAGTACTAGCTAGCGGTCTTAATGACTGCTTTTTGCCGAATCAGGTGGTTGATGATGATGCCGAGCAGTCTTGCTGGGTATTCATGTTTTGGTTTGTCTCGGGTCTCCGTGTCGATAGTGAACAGGGAGGACCTTTGGCTAATGTCGGTGTGAAACATAATGGTTTCAGCAATTGTTCCTCTTTTTACTGGCTTTTGTTGGGTGCACTATGCGAGTGTCTATCTTGGATCCCGCTAATTGACGGCGGGACACTCATTCCCGGTTGTTCTTTAACAGAGGCGTGGTCATGATGGTTACCAATTTGGAGTCATGGTTATTTCTAACTGAAAAGGCTATGTAGCGTCTTTATATTTTAAGTCGGAACTGCTATGGAACCCCGTGTGGGGATTATGATATGTGGCGTGCCATTCATTGCGGATTATAGGGATCATATATTCAATGTTTCCATCATTAGGGCTCTAGGTTGGAAGACCAGTCAACAAGTATGAGGTTGATATCTATGTCGCATTTTAACTTTCAAATCACCATAAATGAGTACAGCCCACCAATTCATACATGAATGATACTGAACGAGATAGAAGTACTCTAATGACTAATCTTTTGGCCCCCAACTGATGCTTGCGTGGTTCTTTGTCAGATGAGAAGAAGCCTCCGAAGCAGCCGAACCTAGCGGTATATTATTCTAATCTAAGCCCTTGCCTTGACAGAACAAGTATAAACAAAATTCCATATAGTAAACATCTATCTATGTACTCTTGTTGTCTACATCCTCGCAGTACCTGTTCCCGGTAATCGACATCGTCCGCCCATAGCGACCAAACGATGCCAACACCCCGGTATTTTGCCCAAGCCCCTGCCTTCCCCGCCGAGACTCCCGTCGCGAGTCTGCCGATAATCTCTCTTCAAAAACTACAGAGTGGGGGCTCCACTGAGGGACAGAAGTTGTTCGAAGCTTGTAGAGAATGGGGTTTCTTTCTAATAGACCTGCGAGACTTCGATGATGGGAAGACATTGTTACAGGATGCAGAGAGGATGTTCGATCTTACTACGGAACTATTCTCTCTGGACCAGGCAATCCTGGATCAATATGCATATGATGCGCCTAGAGATCTGACCGGGTATGTACATACACTTGAATATACTCCGCGGTAGATCATCAATTGATGTCAAATAGGTACAAAAGCATGGGCCGATTAAAGACCGACGATGGCAAAACAGACCATATGCATCTGTATTCCATCAACCAAGACGACATCCTGGGCAATCGTCCTCCACGGACTAATGCCGGTCCTATCGAGTCGAAGCGCATGCAACTCCAAGCATTTATTCGACACTGCTCTGCAGCATTGGGTGTGGTTCTAGGTGCGCTAGACGACCAAATCGGCCTGGAGCAGGGCACGTTGGCTGCAGTCAGTCCACTGGACGACGAGTCTGAGACCTCAGTGCGTCTTCTCTGTAGCCCGCCTCAGTCTGCCCCGGAATATGATCGCATCACATTAGGCGGACACACCGATATCGGTACCATGACAATACTGTTCCACGTGGTGGGCGGACTCCAGATTCTTCCAGCTGGGAAGGAAAACGCCATGGAGAACTGGCAGTACGTACGGCCTGAGCCGGGCTGTGCGTTGGTGAATGTGGGTGATACGCTGGTGGAATGGACGGGCGAACTGCTGCGTAGCTCGTTGCACCGGGTGATGACAGCCCCAGGAGATCAGGCACTGGTGCAGCGTCAAAGCGTGGCGTACTTAGTTCGGCCTGCACAGAAGGCATCTATGCGACGCATTCGGGGTGGCAAGATTCCTCCTTTGTCCGAAGGGGAAGAGGAGGAGATACGCCCGGTAAACGAGTGGGCAGCTTGGAGGTCACGGCAGATTATACTGGGCCACTTGAAGCCCCAGAGCCGAGGTGGAAATATGGCGGTCAGCGTATGAAAGAAGGATCAGTAGTATTGATATTAGCATTAGTCCTACTCTTTTCCGTTTCTTGTTTTGCTGGTCTCGTGGGGGTTCATTTGCCCTCGGAGTAGAGTAGATATAAAATTCGACATTTCTCATTTTATCAGGAGCCTTGTGAGTATACCATAAAGATACCTTCATCGGAAGGCTATCCATATACTCTTACTTTCCCTTAGATCTTAAGAGTGTTTTTTACGAGCTATCTCCGCGATAAACATTGCCATCGCGGCTATTCACTAGTAAGTTTCGTCACAGACCTAGTTTATGCAACTCGTTTGGAGTAAAGCTTCGCTTGAAGGCTATTTTCACTTCCCTTTTTGTATTCCGTGTAAACTAAAGAACTGGGTAAATAGTCAGATTTTCTGTAGAGGTCTAAATTCTTTATCCAATATATAGTAGCCAGACTAATTGTGCAGCGGAGCGAAGCGTAGCAAGCATTATATGTTTCAGTTTAACATCTCATTGATGCAGTAAGACCTAATTCTATCAGTTCGCCCTGCTCAGTTTCTCACCATATCCGCAGGGTCTTAATCAAAGTATCACCTTTCCTAAACAGCAGGTACATCCATATTCAATCGTTAAGATCCCCCCACAACCCGACATGAGTGATACAAAATCCCCCCAATGCCGAAGCAACGGGAAGCATCCAAACAAAACTCCACACGGACAAAGATATACCCCGATGGCAACCGTGGCTATTCTTACCGCTTCAGGAAGGGTCTTTGGCATTACCCACCAATCAGACTTTTGTGGTGGAGACACCCCAAATCACGGGGTAAGGGCACGGTGCACCTGTCCTAATTAGGTCTAGCGCGTTTTCTCCAGATTATGACCTGGCAGAATGATTTCCAACACTTTTTGACTTGCCTGGTTGGGTTGTGTATTGTTTACTGTGTGGGGGTTTATGCGCGTTAGCCCTGTGGGGAGCGACTTTTTGTGGAAGTAAAAAATATTGCTAGATTTCTTTGATGTTTTTTATTGTTCTTCTTGAATTTTAGGTTTTTAGCGGCGCTCTTGGAAGGGATATATTTATTGTAGTTTATGAGACTGAACATCCTTTCCACGGTCGGGGGTGAGAAGTCGGATATTCCTGCATTCGTTGGGACCGCCTTCTGAGATGAGCTCCGCTTTCCTGATTGGGGTTGTCTCTTTGGTGTTGTGGTGGAATGGAAATGTCTACGGTGAATCAATTGAGTTAGTGATTTATCAATTTAAAAGATGGCCAAATGCGGATTGTATGCCTTGTCTGGTGTAGGGTCGACCGGAGTAAGTGACCTTTTACTATTTGGTCACCACAATACTAGTCAAAGCTTCAACAAGTTCTAGTACATGGGATGGTAAAGAGAACCAGGGCACTCAAGGCAATTGGTCTACTAGTATTCTATAGATTTTATGACAAGGTCATGAGCTATTAGAAAAAGGATACATTCTCAGGAAGGTGCCCTGTCAAATCCATACCGTATGCCTTCTGCGATATCTGCTACACTTGTGTGAATGCCATGTAGTTCATTATATTCCGCTCGTACAATGTCTAAATACATAAGGGATGGTGCATAGCTATCACCATCCATGCAATATAACCGAACTGTTTGGACATATGATTTTGATAATTTAGTACTCAATGCTCTGCTTAATGGCGTCATATATCCCTGTGTTAAATTAGTATGGCTGTTCACGATAATATGCTGACGTATGAACTTACGAGCAACATCAGGCAGGATGAACTTCTCATATTGAAGTCCTGTATGTGTACTCCATCCCGCAACCCGCTTGACGGGTGCCTCTAGCCGCAAGAACGCCTGGTCCTGAATAGTAGCAGCCACCTCGGCACCGACTCCATAGTTGATCATGCTCTCGTGCACCACAATCGCTCTGCCGGTCTTCTTCACGCTATCGAGGACCGTTTGCCGGTCCCACGGGTAGATAGTGCGCAGATCAATTAGCTCCACACTGACACCGAGGGCCTTCTCTGCGGCGGCAATAGCTGCGGAGCACAGGTAGAGCGGCTGACCATAGGAGATAAGGGTGACATCATTGCCCGGCTTCAAGATCTCCGCCTTGCTGAGCGGGATTGTGTAATACTCGTTCGGAACATGCTCCACCGCCGCACGGTACAAACATTTCGGCTCCATGAAGATAACGGGGTTATTATGCTCGAAGATCGAAGCCAGGAGAAGGCCCTTTGCTTGCGTTGGGGAACGTGGCACAACAACCTGGACACCTGGGACGTGAGCGAAAAGCGCTTCAGGCGATTGTGAATGATATCTAGTTGGGGGTAGGGTCAGTATAGCAATTCGGGAGCGCTCATTGGGCCGGGACCATACAAAGCGCCGTGTCCAACCGCACCACATGGCATGCGCACGACCATGCCACCAACATTCACTCCTGTGGCACCTTCACGATATCTAAACTTTGCGGCTTCGTTGACAATCTGGTCGAAAGCTGGGAAGACATAATCCGCGAACTGGATCTCCGCGACCGGCTTCATGCCCTGCGCGGCGGCCCCAATGGCAAATCCCACGATTCCTTGTTCTGTCAATGGGGTATTGAAAACACGTTCCGACCCAAATTCCGTCTGTAGATCCATTGAGCAGCGAAAAACACCTCCGAAGGCGACATCTTCGCCGAAGAGCATCACCTTCTCCGACTTGGTGAGTGCTGTGCGTAGGGCGGAATTGATGGCTTGGTAGAGGTTCATGGATTTCGAAGTTGTCGAGCCGGGGAGTTCTAGGCTTTCGGAGAGCATGGAGGATGTGTGATGTAGGAGCGGAGTGGATTTGTAGTCGATAGGGAGGTTCAGTCGTGACGATGGCGATGCCGCGGCCGAGTATAGTCGACGGCCAGCCGGGCGTATTAGTCGGGGTAAGCGGAGCGACGCCATTGTGTGAGTTGAGGCGAAAGAGGAAGAGGAGCGGAGAGTGTAGTTAATGGATGTCGGTCAAAGAAATGCTCCTAGAATTTTTTTTTGCCGTTCCCCTTGATTTATATCCCCTTCCGTTTTCCCCAGAATGTCATCATGCGGGGATTCTCTTCCGCCCTTCCTCCGCGGATAACCGAGCATGGGTGGCCTCGGTGCCTGGACCCTGAAGGTTACATCCAATAATGTCCCCGCTGGTTATAAAATCCTTTCCAGATTTTCAGACTCCATTTCTCATGATCAGCGAGATAGTCGGACGGCGGAGAAATTGTTGGGTTGTAATATGCTTTATCTTATCGGACACACGACTTGCTGCACAAGGCTCCTTCACGAACGATTCCTCTCTTGTTAGGAAAGTAATAAGAATAATTGTTAATAATGTTTATTAATCGCTGATTAAGCAGAGGAACCCAGCCCAGATCAAACTGAGAGAGGCATTGAGTTATGTAGAGGGTCCATTGTTAGGTCGAACCTGCCGAGACATGGTAGAATATATATCAGAACCGGATAGCAGGCATGTCTACTCCGTATTAGGTAGACATCTTTCCAACCCGTCCAACTATACGATTAGCCCACCAATTATATGCTATAACTAGTATAGCTCTAACTCTAGTTTAGTGAATATTGTATAAGCGCTTTCAGCCTCGTCTCACGACGAAGTGGAACCAATCAGCTAGTGCCACACTTTTCACCCCCTCTGGTTCCTACTACTAGCCAAGACCACGAACAATGGACTGAAATCTGGAACATTAGAGAGAGATAAGAAAGAACTTATATGCAGGAACTGTCCCTGCCACCCAAGACCCCATGGGACCAATCCGGGAAGGTTTCATTGACTTGCGACTGCGCATCATTGAAGCCAATGTCATATCCATTGACTTCATGAGGGAAATAGACCTCATATGCCATTGCAAAGATGACCAGCCGGGTAGTTGCCGTGCCACGATCGATGCCGAGGATAACCTGAAAGAACTAGACGGCCAGAAAGTTTACCTGGGAGAATTGCTTAGGGAAAGGCAGTTCGCCAATTTCTTGGTCATGAGAAAAATGGCTGATATTGTAGAAAGCCATGGCCATCGTTATTCTTTTGCTCAAGTCCTTGAGCAAGTAATCAGACTGATATAAGATAGGGTTTCTTTATAAACCCTTTCGTCAATTTTGTTATAAGAAAAAGGGGAAAATTCTAATTTCTGCGTGAAGTGGGGTGTAAAGCTTGTGCCTTTAGTATAATCAACATGTCAAGACTCATGGCTGGGAGATAAGTAGAGTATTAAAACTAGAAGGTTGACTTGGATTATACCTATCATTGGGATTCTGATATTATCTTATCATTATGCCTGTCCATGTTTTTGGGATCAGCCATGTGAGGCCGGTACTGTAACAGCTGATACATAGGAGTGTGCTTCGAATCCACCTGTATCAAGCTTATTCTTTATACATACTAATGTGCCAAGTCCGTGAGATAACAGCGGGTAGATGGCATGATAGCATAGCTGGCTGCTAAAATAAAACGAGGGCCATAACAACAATATTGTGTCTAACATGACAGAGAAGAAATATAATAGCAGCAGTTCTAATAGAAGATACCAAGGTCTCGTAGAGATGATTAGAGCCGCAAAGCTATAGTATGTCAAATATACGCTAGCTTTCCACTACCTTATAGTAGCATTGACTCAAGTACCAGCCACCCTACTCACGACTTCGAAGATGCTTCACGGATCAGGCGTACTTCAAAACAGTAATCTTATATACCCATTCCCATATATCGAATAACAACACAAGCAACAAACCCAAAAAGCAAACTCTCACACCCCCATAACTAAGATAAATTACTCCTTCTCCCCCTCGACCCCAACCCTAACCCCCTCCCTCTCCATCATCCTCTCCAACCAACCCTTCACAAACGGAAACTTGTCGAGATCAAAATCCTCCACACCAACAACCGCCCCCGGTATCCTCTGCCACGGCACAAAGGCCAAATCCACATACGACAACTTCCCCCCAACAAGCCACGGTCCATCTCCCTCCCCATAAAGCCCAGCCTGCTTTTCCAACCACCCCTCCAGAACCCCAGTCACACGATTAACTTCCTTGGCGTACCGCTCAACAGCACTAGGAACCTGCTCCGCATGAAACTTCTTAAACCACACCAGCTGCCCATAGTATGGCCCCTGCCCGGACATCTGAAAATGCAACCACTGTTTCGCGAGGTAGAAATCGTGGGTGCCCGGCTCGAAGCTCAGGCGGCGGGAGGTATCGTAGCGGTCGACCAGATACTCGATTATTGCACCGGATTCCCAGATCGTGAGACCTGTGTTTGGGTCATGGAGGGTTGGGAGTCGGCCGTTAGGGTTTAGGGATAGATATGAGGGAGATTTGACTTCACTGAAGGGGACCGCGTCGATTGTGTAGGGGAGGGAGAGCTCGTTGAGGAGGATAAGGACTTTTACTGGGTTGGGGCCGGGGCGGTGGCCGTAGAGTTTTAGGGGCTGGAGAGAGGTGGACATTTTGGTTTTTGGTATTGGTCTTGGTTCTGGGGTTGGTGATTTGGTTGTAGGTGATTATCTTGGTCTTGGTATTTGGTGTGTGAGAGCTGGTTGTGTTGATGGATTGGGGTGATGGGGGAGTTGAAGCAGTGTTATATAGCTTTGGTATTGAGGATATAGAAACAGAAAGAAGGTCTACATTTGTAATACCGATGGAGTGGTTACAAATCTATCTTTGATCTTGGGCACATGGATTTGACATTCTGATATTGGGTCTGTGATGGATGCTCGCTGGTATCGCCCAAAGTGGAATAGTTTAACCCGGAGAGTTCATCATAGCTGAAACGAACAATACAGAAGTGTTCGCTGAAAGAACGATACTTGTATTGTGGAGATGTAAGTTTCACAGGTAAATTAGTGAGCATTAGCTTATGGTTTCGAAGTATAAATGAGCAAGACTAGGCTATATCTATCGTCTAACTAGAGCTTAAGCCATTGATCCGTCTCCACAGACTCGAACACTCCAAACCCTACCACTCTACCCAGACGAGCTAGCTGAGCCTTAAACCAGGCTTTCTGCTCAGAACCCACATATTCAAGCCCTGACGCAATGGTCAGTGGCCATATGACCAAACAAGCGTCGGTTGGCTTGACTTCTGCCTTTAGGTTCAGGGTGACGGATGAACGAGGAATGGATGATGAATGCGTGTCACCGATTACTCTGACTCTCTGAAGAGCAAAGGGTACGGTCGCTGCCAGATCTTCAGACACACACTGCATATCGAAAGAAAGCTTTTGCTTTAGGGATAGATTATTTGGATTATGGAGGGCGAGGATTCTCAGCCGGGTACTTTTGACAAGCATTTTCGTGGCATTATACTGACTCCAAAGAGCTGCATATGTTGGACTAGGATAGCTGTATAGGACTGGGGAATAGAAATTTGCGGACGGCCAGGATGGAAGGTCCACGTTTGATAGGGTGTGTTGTTGAGACTGGCGCCATGCATCTGGGATGTGGGAGAGGCAGGTTTCTAAGTCTAGGTCGAGGGTGTGTAATTCATTATGGATCTGTTCCAGTTTCAATATTGACTCGTTTTGTGGAGTTGTACCCCGAGCTGTGATTTCGTCGGCGAGTGCGAACAACCGATGGCGGATGTTGGCGAGACTTATGATAACTCGGTCGTATTCAAGTTCGAGGCCGTGTTCACCGAAGAATGCACCATCATGGATCCAATGTGGTAGTGCTGTATTTCGCAGGAGGGCTGATCTGACCACCCCCCGTCTGGTATGCTTAATAACGTCCGTTGCGGGCCGATCGCAACTGAAACGGTCGTTCCATACCTTCAAGATTGCCAACGCTCCATCGTGATGTGAGAAGCTCGGCGAGGCGTTCACCAGCGGGGTCTTGGTCTCTGGACGGTATATCGAGTCCTCGTAGCGACCCATGAAGAAGACCGCGAGGAGACACGGGTCAGTATTATCTGGTGTCAGGTAATGTATCGCAGTTTGAGCTACCTGCAGAAGTCGATGATACGTGGCAGACGCTACTACAGTTGCGTGCGGGTAATTTTGGGTCCTCGAAAATAGCGCTAGGGCCAGAGAGGACACCGCTAGATCTATTATTGAACACCACGGCGTTGATGGAAGCACAGGTAGGCATCCTCTAGTGACATCCTTGACAATATCGGGAACATTATGCGGAGCCTGCAGGTAATTGTGCATATAATATGCAATTGCGTATGTTTTAAGATTGGCGGGCTTGTAGGAGACGGTTAGATTCATTTTCATTGAGCGAGGCCCTCTAGGGCGCTTCTTCTGACGGCTTGCGTAGGCATTTTCGGTATGCCAGACTTGTTGATCCCGCATGCCATAGCATGTTCGCCGGGACTTGATGCATCGTTGACAGATTGGCTGGGTCTTATCACACTGTAGAAAGTATCAGCTGGGGCCCCTGGTAATGTAGGCGCATGACTGCCACGCTAGTAGTATGTATGTACCTTGATTCGTCGATCCCTACATGTTTGGCATCCGCCACCGGGAAATGGCATTGTTCTGCGATTTTGCTGGTTTGGATGGGGAAGAGCTAGATATACAAGTTCTAACTTGTTACAACCCTGTAATTCAAATTCAAGAAATGCTCGATACTCTCTGATAGCACTAGTAAAGTAAGATAAAGTATCGTCTACTCAGGATTGCCCTAACTGTATGTACATAGGTTGCTCGCGGGTTTCGCCCGATACGGTTTAGCCGATAGATCACTGCTTATAAATGTCGGTCTGTGTCGGGGTTCGGCAGTCCCCTAACGCCGACATTTAGATACTTTTTTTTTTTTCTCTATTTTTTTTAATAGAGGAGTCAAAACACAGGTTTGTCAGGTCTATTTACATGAGGATGGCGCCCCCAGAATGATTCACTGCCTCACATCCCTCCCCCAACAACGGTTTGATAGCGCCGTGTTATCCTCTCTAATATCCGTGGACCGTGGCTCCCTCGATACAGAGGACTGCGGCGGGGCCATGGAGCGCATAGCACAAACCATGTAGCCATACAGTCCACATAAACTCTTGCAATAGCTGCTTTACACTACTGCTTCTAAACCCTACTTCCGGAGAGCCCCAGCAACAGCAACCGCTGCAAGTCCAACCAACGCCACATCGGCCTTGTAGTCTTTCCCTGCCAGTACCTGCATAGCGAGTCCCATGATGAAAAACATAAGGCTAACAGCCGCAGCAGCGTATCGAGAGGCCTTGTTTCCAAATAGTAACGTGACTCCAAAAATTGTGTCCATAACTGGAGTAATCATTGCGAGAGTGGAGCCGTCATCTGGTGCATGATACTCCTGGAATGCGTACCATCCCGGAGTATACGCGCCATGCGTGAAACGAGAGAAGGCACCGAGCAGCACGACGAAAGAAAGAAGGTATATAGAGAGGGTCGAGAGTTGTGACAGCATGGTGGTCAGATTTGGTATCGAAGCAGTGCGTATTTTGCTGATTTACTTGCGTCAAGGTAGCAGCTCAATGTGAAGGTAGAGAAATAGTTTGGCTTGGGCGTAGCGCCCTTGAGAGATGAGGTTTTTCTTTCTGACAACCTCAGTGAAGTTGGAGGCCTGAGTTTCGCCCCCACGATGACACGCTATCGGTGTCTCTACAGAGTGCACGTGACATAAGATGATGTTCATCTGGATTTGTATATGACAAGGAAGAGTACTTCATGGCTTCCATAACTCCCTGTTGAAACTATGGGGTTGTGGCTAGCACCATGATGGGTACTCCCGATGAGATAGGGTTCAACCCTCCCCGGATCTCCAATTTTAAGCTTTCAAGTCCCGGACTCTGGGGTTCGCTCCGCACCAGTCGGAAAGAAAGAAATAGGAAAAAGAAACAATCCATAGTGCTGATGTCATTATGAAGTTAAAATTATTTCCCCATCATCTAATGTCGTCTCACCTCGCTGAGAAGAACTTGGGGAGAGTCAGAACAAGTTTATTAAGCAGCAACTGGAACAATACAAGATGATGCGTTGGCGGTCCCTTCTATCTCTCGTACGAGAGGCATGCTATCCTTGTAGTATCTGAATTGCATGCTCCGGAAGCTAATGTCTGAATAGCGTCATGGTCCATTCACAAAACATGTGCGCCAATTCAGCCTCTTAGAACACCACTCGCATCAGCTTTTGAAACAGGTAAGGCAGGTCGCCTTCATAGTAGTATGAAGTTATTGAGACCCCTGCTAGTTCCAAATCCCAGTCCCCGATGGGTTTGTAGTCAAGAGTCCTGAAGCAGCTCGCGATGTTGTATACAACATTGGTGAGTTCCTCATGGGGAGATGATGTTTGAATATGGGGAAGAACATCTGAAAGCATTCGTCAATGCTAAGACAACATCAGGGGCTCCGTCAGTCATGAAGGCTCAAATACTCGCCGGTGGGCGAGGTAAGGGCAAGTATAACAGCGATGGAAAAGGTGGCGTTCGCATTGTCGACTCGTGGGTTTCTACCAACCAGGGGTACTATTACCAGCTCTGACAAACTGCAGACCAGACGAGGCTTTTGACAACGCATCCAAAATGATCGGCTATTCCCTCGTCACGAAGCAAACTCCACCCGGCGGCCTTCCAGTAGACAAGCTATACATTTACAAATCGGTCGATATTGCGAAGGAGTTCTATGTAGCTATTACCTTCGATCGCCAACGATATATGCCTGTTCTCCTGATGTCTGATGATGGAGGTGTGAATATCGAGTCGAATGTGAATCAGCTCCAGCGTTTCTGGTTCAATCTTTCTACGGGAATCACTCCTGAGATTGCAGCTTATATTGAAGCACAGTTTGGGTTTTCTGACGACGAAATGGGCATGGTCACACATATCTTGCGTCAGCTCGTAAAGCTGTTCCAGGAAAAAGATGCCACACTCCTTGAATTGAACCCCTTTGTGCGTACAACAGAAGGGTCCTTGATATGTATCGATGCGAAGTTTAACTTTGATGACTCGGCCAAGTTTCGACAGCCCGAGCTGGTTAGTCTCGAGGAACACTTGCCGGAGGAGAAAGACGAATATGAAGCTTCGCAGCTGGGTCTGTCCTACGTCCGTCTTGACGGTGATATTGGTGTTATTGTCAACGGTGCTGGCTTAGCCATGGCAACCAATGACCTAGTCACTTTGTATGGTGGGAACTGTGCGAACTTCTTGGATATCGGTGGAGGTGCAACAAAAGAAACATTGTCAAAGGCATTTTCGATTCTGCAGGGTGATACCCGCACAAAGGCACTGTTCATAAATATTTATGGCGGTAAGTATTGATCGACTTAGAAGGTTTATAGCTAATCGGATCCGATGGTAGGAATTGTTCGCTGTGATATGATTGCCGAGTCAATACTGGCCGCTTCTGCTGCGATGGGCGGGTTCAGAATTCCAGTTGTGGTTCGGTTACAAGGTACAAACTATGACAAGGGCTTACAATTGGGAAGTACACTTCTCCTATCTTCACTTGCCAATGACTAATCGATTTGTAGATTCAAACATCTGGTCTAGATAATATACTTTTCGAGGCTGATTTCGATGCAGCTGCTAAAAAGATCGTCGAGCTTACAAAGAATTCGTGACGAGTAATGGATATTATAAAGGTCCTTGGGGATACAACCACTGCGCCCGCCAGGGTTGACATCGGTGTGAGGATGTGCAGAATATGATGTGTGTATCGGTCACACCTAGTCATGCAGCAGCAGCAGGCTAGCTAGGTGAATGTTTAATATATGCAGGGACTCGTCTCCCAGAAAGGTCATCTACTTAAGAGTGAGCCTGAGCGCTCCTCTATTACCGGGATCAATCAGATCTCCCTGGATTGAATTGGCTGCAAAAGAGCTTATATTAATTCGTTGATTATCCTTTCCTTTTGGTGAACGCTGCACTTGCAATCATCATTATACGTCAGCTAGGAGGGTATTACCATCCCTATACCAATCTAGAACATCGTCAAGAACAAAATCTGAATCAAGAAATTGGACTTTGCAACCCAATTCCCATAGTCCTCTTTGGACTTGAGACCATTACCATTCTCTCCCTTCATCCGGCTTAAACAAAAGCTCGCCATTGATGTTGAAGATATGTTCATCCAGATAGCAATGGTCAGATACGTAATCCCCCGAACTATTCAGAAGATCGCCATGAAGTACGGGCAGTCGAGATGGCCCTTCTCTCGATATCTCAAGATTACGACTCGTTTGAGTAACGTTCTTTCCACCCCAAACGAAATGCCCTAGTGAAGATGGAGATTACCATGGACGCCTGGAATTCAGTTAGAACGAAAGGGAGACCTTACCATTGTCATTACCAAGGAAGTCATCGAGGTAGATATCGCTGGTTAGACCCGATCCTTCTTCGTTATTGCATATAGCGACTAGGGAAGTTCTCCTTCGTCCATGCTCGGCGGTTAGGTGAATGTCGCAGGCGGTTTGTTGGAAGGACATTGTGAAAGTGTAAGAGATATGATTCTTTAGATTGAACGTAGGTTACATTGAATGAAATTCCACAGTAGATTATTCAATAATAAGGAATGCTTTGGGGTGTGTGTATGAGAGCCAATTATATAGTTGGATAGTGTGGCCACGCGATTAAGTTAAGATTGCATAATCATGATGTAGCGGAATCATGTTCTTCCAGTGCCAATACAGTATTCATAGGAAATAGACGTCTGGCTAAGTTTCTTTTGTTCCCCATTGAACATAGTGTCCGAGGACTGCAGTAGTCATTTTACCAGAGTTCATGGGGTCATATGACATGACAAACCGCTCAGGACCTTTTTTCGCCTCTTTAGTAAGCCGGTAGGGACTTTCATTGTATTATATGTATAAAAGGCCTTGCGTATTGACCTTGTTAAATGTAGTTCCTTTACGGTCATATGCTGTCAGTGACTTCTGTAAGTTAAACTTGGAAAGTTTTGAAACCTATAAAGGAATTCTATGATCTGTTAGAAGTATATACAGGTACTAAAGTGACTATGTACAAGAAGAAAGAGGAGACAAGCAGGACGGTTCATGGGCTTCCTGGTGCCCAAGGCTAATATATATACATGACGAGTGAAGAGCCTTTGAGGTTAAACAGGCGGCGGATGTTCACCATTCTCGTTCATAGCCACCAATTGGTAATCGTTGGAGCGAGAGCGATATAACTTAAAGAGTCTGCAACAACAGCAGCATCGATATAGACCGGCAAGCAGTCCACCCACACTTACTACCAGGGCGAAGCCCAGAATCCAATTGTGCAGATCAAAGAGCTTGTCGAAACTCGACACTTGTTCTTTCTGGAGCACGTCGGTGACACCGAGGACATTCCCCTCAAAGTCTAGAGCTGCGAGGCGGAATAAAGGACCAAGGTCCTCTGGAATATCGATTTCCGTCTCAAACCCGGTCTTTTCGAACTGCGCCACTACCCCAAACGAGGACTCGGTCAAATCGTCGGAATCCCACACCTCTAATCGCCATGATGTAACTTCTGTCGCACCGTTCCAGCTCACGTACACTTTATCATCGTCAACCTCAGCATCAGGAGTCGTCTGAGGGTGTCCCACCCAGTCACCCTTGAAGGCACGGTAGGAGACAACCCGCCCAAAGGTGAAGAAGGCCGATGCGCCGAAATGGACATTGCACAGCAACTCTCCGTCGGCGTTAAATTCGGTATAGGCGGCACTGTGACCCCAACCAACTAGAACCCGGCCGGTATCATCCAGCATCTGTACATTGCCTTGTGATACAGACTTCATCTGTTGGGGATGATAGTAAGCAGCCACCAATCTCGCCTGGCGGGCCGAAATGTCTAATTGAATAGCCATGCCGCGACTCTCATTATCTGGATCATTGTTGGAGTGGGAGGCGTTGTCAAATAGTGTTAAGGTGTTGTTCGCGTGCCACCGCGCATCATGTTGCCAGGCGAAATTCGTTGCTTCACCCTCGGAGAGATCGGTGAAATCATTCATTTTGCCCCCGAGTGTCCACAGTAAAGATCCCGTCTTGGAGTCAATGCAACTGACCGAATGCGTGTGCCGGGAAGACACAATGTAGTTTCCTTGGTCGTCTTTCTCGACGCTGTTGATATGAAAGTAGTCAAAGGCCGATGCGCGATCTTTTCCAGCCTCACCCAGCGGCTCGTACGAGCTGTCGACGGGGTAGTGTTTGGAAGCGCGCCACTCGAATAGCAATTCACCGGTCTCGACGTCGATCTCCTGGAAGACGCCATCAAATATCCAGCCTAGCTCCGAACCTCCGACTGGTGTTAGGTCCACTGGCAACGGGTCGTAGATAGTCACCAGGGCCGTTCCCTCGTTGGTTATTGTGAATTCGTGCAGGTCACCTCCATAGTTGCCGACGGGATTAATCACGTATCGTTGGGTGTAGGAAGAATCGAGCTTGTTATGGTCAGCCAAGCATGTATGCTCCTGGCTCAGATACGACGTACCATATACCACGATCCATAGCCGCGAGCCTCGACCTGGCGACCTTCCCAGTAGGTTAAGTAGTCTTCACCCTTATATCGCTGGACTTTGAAATCCTGGGTGGTTTCCCAGTTATACTTCATCCAAACTAAGTTGCCCTCAGCATCGAGTATCATGGGGCCTGCTTGGGGCACTGAATCACCGCGCGGCGCAAGAAATGTGTATCGCGGGTCACATCCTGATTCTGATTCCGTGATTTCGACAATTGGTGATTCGTAGTCAAAGGAAACGTAACCAGTTGAAGGGCCGAACCCATACAGACCCAGGTCATATTGGCTCAAGTCCGTGCGAAAGCGAAATCGTAAAATTTGCGGTATCGCGAAGACGTAAAATAGATAGAAAAGACTGATGGCCACGCCGACCGTAGCGACATGGCGGCCGGTGACGAGCCTTAACGGCGAGCGACGGGCATTCTTCGAAGGCCAAGTCCAAGAGGACATTGGGACATGACGGACAAGGCGCAAAGTGTCCGGGATAATAGGAGAAGGGATAACGGACTGGGGTCGTGGGGAGGTATATTAACCCCCTCCCAAAGGAGTGCGTCCATGCTTCAGATTCAGGTACGCAATCGTAATCGTACCTGGGCCCCTGTTCAGCACTCAGGAGGGACAGTTTCTCAAACGCAAGACCCAGATAAAAATTGCCAAGATGCCCCGTTCACGCACCACACAACGTGGTTTCATGTTCCGAATCCATTGCAGCGGAGTTCGAGCAGAGTGGTACACCAGAAGAGGGAATATAATTCGACCATCGTGCCGTTCTCCGGGCTGTGCCAAGAGAGCCCGCAGTGGGTCGTTTGGTAGACGAGCTCTTGGGAGACTGTCGGCCATGAGTGGTCTGCTGAAGATTTAGCCATCTTGGCACGTTTTCTTCCCCACCGTGAATGCGTATGGGTGCCGATTGCCGGTAATTGCTCGGTTGATGGAATCACCTTGACTAGTGGTTGCGAACGGTGGCGTGCTTTTAGGGCTGGGAGCAACAGCAAGCCGATGAAATAACGGACACTATGCGTACCATTGGCCGAGCACCGCTGGATAATCATTGATGATGGGGTCATCTGGACATGTACTACTACGTGATTATCAACGACGCCGCGTGGATATTGTCATCACTTAATCTGCAGAGTTTATGAATGACACCGGCCACTGAGACTCAACCCTGCCCTTCTTCTCAGTGGGGCCTTGCCAATCTAGCTTCATACTACTGTGGAGAGTCGAAGTCACTTCGCTCAGTCAGGAGAGAAATGCATGCTAGAATCAGACTGGCAGGGAGAAAAAAAAAATTTTAAAAAAAAATTACACACTTCAATACCCAATCCAAATAAACAGCCACTGCGTACTGTGGAGTTTTCCTAATTTTCTGTGTCCACGCATTCTGGAAGTTTCAATAGCTCGATTGATCGGCGCAATAAGTCCCCCTGCTCCACTCTTACCACCGAACTGCCTCTTATTGGATCCGGGAACGCTCGCATTACTCGGCAATTAGTTCTAGATCAGGTTTCCATGCCTTTGTGGTAATTTTCTATACATCAACCAAGAAATCCATGGCAATTGAACATATATCTCGCGGCTTTCTTGTCGGGGGTCGCATTGGACACTTCGTCCACTACTGTTAGAAATTGAATCAATGCGCGGCTTGGCATTGTAAGAATGAATCACTTGGCAATGATTAATGGACTTGGTTCGTCCTCGGTTAGCATTTTAACCCCTTGCCAAGCCGGCGTTGTACATATCTGCTCTGTCAATGCAGTCTGGAGTCTGACTGCGTGTGCGACTGAGTTGCAGATAACTCAATTTCGAAAGCACCGATCTCTAACCAATCACAATCCATGGGTTAAATACATTAATACGTCATATGTATATATAATTCGCTGACGGTTGGAAATAGTTTGTGGCTGTGCATTCAACATTGTTGCCTATTTCTTGCTATAGGTCTTCGGATGCGTGTGCCGTGCCACTGATGATATGAGACTTTATGCACTCCATGTTTCGACATTTAACTATGTTTACATTCAAGGTCCTTGATCGGTTGATTTGTTTTGCTCCGCCTCTGCATCCTTGTACGTACGGTGCCTTTGTTCTGGCCAGGCTCAAAGCTCGGGTTCCTAGAAAAGTGTTGTCGGATATGGCGCGTAAGGTCAAAATCATGTAGGATCTGTGTACCGTTAATGACGAAAGTCTTTGTGATTTGGATTCCAAGGAAGGCTCTTAAGTTTCTATGGGCTCTACACTGCTCAATAAACGATCTCTTGTCATGCGTCTCTTCTCCCATCGATTGGGAAACATATGAAACAATATCACCTAAAGGCTAAGCCCTTATGACTACTATGGGCAATAACATAGTTTTTGACTAATTTTCACAACTGGATGAAAGCAGACGTGCTTGTACTCTACACGCTATGCAAAACCCTGGCAGTATCTACCTCCATAGATCACTAAAGCTAACACTACCGATATATACAGTCAATAGAGATATTGCGCAAGTTACTCCGTATATATGCTGTCAGTGCTTATCTGCAATCTGAGCTAATGTAGATAGCATTCTATATATAGCGAAAGTACTACTCATCAGCTATTTGGTTCGCCATGAGGCGTAATAAAGCCCCCTGAACGTCTTCCCTGCCCATGAATACTTCCACCATCCTCACTCCTGTTCCAGCTTGTATTCTCTTGTCTCTCAAAACGACATCCAACTCACCCCATGTCCGGGCAGAAAAGTAACTCTGCATGGCATGCCTATCATCCGCCCCGAAGAAGCTCAAAGCCTGAGCATGGCTCCAAGGAGCAATATCATTATAAGACTGTTTCCTCCCATGAATAGCTCGCTCGATGGTATAGCCTTCATTATTAATGACGATGATGATAACATTCAAGTTTTCCCTGATCATCGTGCTGATCTCCTGAACAGTCATTTGTAGACTTCCATCTCCGATAAAAAGGATGGCGCGGGACTCTGGATTGTTTGTTCGTTCTCTCTGAGCTAATTCCGCTCCTACTGTCGCGGGTAACATGTACCCGATTGATAACCAGGTGGCAGGGCCAAGAAGCCGAGTGTTTTGCGGCAGGATCATATCACGACCCCCGTGTGCCGCAGTGCCTGTTTCTGTGAGAACAAGGTCACCTTCACAGATCATTGAGTTCACAATACTATAGAAATCTTTCTGAGTGATTGAATCGGACGAATTAAGCTGGCCTGCTTCTTTTGTTGATTTAGCAGGCCCAGTTACTCTGGGGATTCTGCTGGTGTCGATCGCTTCTAGTAATTGAGGAAGGATGTTGCTAGGATGCGTATCTCGATAGATATCATTGTCGATTTGGATGTAGGTATTCGAAAATGTAATCGTCACAGCTGGATCGGGAATGGTCGTGAAGTTCTGGCTGTTGGTGTCGCTATAGTGAGGACCCATGTTGATGATTAGATCTGCTGAGTCAAAATAATTCTTCCATTGCGCATCGCTTAGTGATCCAGCATAAACACCGTACACATTCAGTAGTTGTTCGTTCACTAAGCTCTTGCCAAAGATCGTTGTCCATGTTGGCCAGCCGGTTGTCTTTACTAGTTTATCAATGTCACCCAGTACTTTCATAGGTCTGCTTTCCCCATCCACCAGTATCAATGGCCGCTTGGCAGTGTGCATCCGTTCCAGGATGCGACCCAATACAACTGGTTCATCTCCAGTGACTGGAGCCGGGGGGATGCAGATCATCGATGTGAGGTTCGACGCGTTCACGTGAACATCAACCATGTCGTCTGGCACTTCTAGGTAAACAGGCCGACTGTGAATTATCGCCTCCCTGAGAGCCCAGTCGACCTGATCGGGTACTAGCCGGGGGTCTTTCAGGTCCACTTGTGCCACTGTTACATGGGAGGCCATGTCCGCAAATCGTCGGAACTCTCCATCTGCGAGGGTGTGATGTACCAAAGCTCGTGACTCTTGCGTTGTTCGTGCAGGCGTGCCCACAATGTGAATAATCGGCGCTTTCTCGGCATAAGCACCTGCAATGCCGTTGATCGCAGAGAGCTCCCCAACACCGAATGTGGTTACCAAAGCTGAAAGGCCATTTATCCGGGCATATCCATCAGCCGCATAAGCAGCGTTGAGCTCATTGCAAGTGCCCACCCAGGCTAAGCCAGATGGTTCAACGAAGTCAAGTAAGTGGAGGTTGTAGTCGCCTGGGACGCCAAAGATAGATCGGATGCCCAGTTGGCGCAAGCGAGTAAAGAGATAATAGGCTAATTTGATTGACATTGCTAATAGATGGCTAAATCTTTACCAGTGCATTGTATACGAGTATCGTGAATTTTGCGTAAGATCGGTGGTTTATATGGTTGTAGGGTTATGCTCGGAGAAAGTAGCAACCAATTCGCCGACACTCCGATCCGATTACATATGTACGCCGCAACAGGAAAATGTTCAACTTTCTCCCGTTATCAACGCCCAAGCCCCGCTCCTCCACAACGTTCTATCGAGTACCGACAGCAGAAATGACGCCAAGACTAGCAGCATGTGAAGCATGCAGAAAGTCAAAGCTGGCGTGCGACCACAAACGGCCGGCGTGTACTCGCTGCCGGAATGCCAATCGGGTCGGTATGTGCGTTTATCGCGATGCACCGTTCAAGCGGAAAAGAGTGCAGGTGTCCTCTCCGTCGGGCGTGGAACCTTCGGAAAGGTGAGTCTAGTTCATGCCCGTTGCTCAGTAGTTCTGTCCCTTTGATGAGTAAACCCAATTAGCTCTCGTTCTCCAGACCAGCCGCCTGCATCACCGAGTCTGAGACGACACCCATACCCCAACCCTGGGTATCTGGGGTTTTCGAGTCATGTATCTATCTTCAATCATATCGCACCAGATGGAGATAGCGGTGCTGATATTTCAACGGCTACGATGCCGGGATATCCATCTGAGAGCTATGAATTGACACAACGAGGAGCCGACGCTCTAAGCCAATTTCTCAGCACATATCCCCTGAAGGCCACCATAAGCTTCGTTAATTTCTGGCTAGCCACAGGTATCAACCTGGCCTTGGCCGGGCCTTTTGTGGAGCAATGTGCTGAGAGCATGAACAACCTGTTGCCCCTGGTATCAAATAAAGATTGGCACTTGGTATACGCACGACAATTGCTGCAGAACTCAGCGAAGCCACTTCAGTTCAACCACACATCCGATCTTGCTAGTTTCTCGGCCCAGTTCGTAGATGAAAACACAAGATGGGAAACCGTTGGCATTTTCTTTGCTGCAGTTAGCCGAGCAACAATTGATGTGCCGTATTTTCCCTCTCTGTATCTATCTGAACAGCAGAAATATGCACTGCGAAGATCTGCCACCAAGCTCAGTGACTATGCTTTGGAAGTTTCTCTTTCTCTTGACTGTCTCAATGATTTACAACTTATCTTCCAGTACGAGAATTTTATTGTTCATTCAAATGTCGATGGGGACCAGAGTACGTAAGCCTATATCTACATGTTACTTGGCCTGGTATTGACTGGACAGGTTACCATTCCTGGAGGAGACTTGGAGATGCAATAGCTTCTACATTTGCCTTAGGGTACCACGAAAATATTGAAAACAAACCCGATCTTCCACCATTCTTAATTGAACTTCGCAAGCTGGCCTCTGCTCGACTTTACTCGGCAGACAAGAACATAGCCATTTTCCTTGGGCGCCCACCCCGAATGAGTAAGCGATTTTGCCATTTCCAGCTTTCTTCAAGCTGGACTGGATTCGATAGCGACAGTCCCGAGAATATCACGGCAGCTCTTGGGGGACTGCAAGATGCAAAGGCGAGCTATAAAGCTGAGACACGTTGGTCTGCGTTGTGTGCGTCGCTAAAGGAAGAGATTATGGAAATGTTTTGTGACAATAAAAAGGACACGTTCATTGAGAGGGCCAGGTATGCTTTAGCTAATGTTGAAATGAAGGTGGCTAACAACGGCAGTGTACTCCAAGAGAAAGCCGAGGCGTATTGGGAGGCACTCCCACCCCACTTTCGACTAGAAGGAAGCTTGAAGCAATGCACTCAGAATCCGTTCGAGAGGGATTTCGTGGTGGCTGTACGACTAAACCACCTACATGTGTTGTTCTTATTGCGCCTTCTCCTCTTGAACACACCGGCTGAACCAGATATGCCCATAACAGAGGTGGCGCAACAAATGATGTCCCTAGTTGTAGAAGGCATCCTTCTCCGAGATCAGCTTGTTAACTCTGGGACCGCCCTTGTATGGAGAGTACGTGCATCCTATTCCTCATGATGAACCAACACTAACCGTAACCAGGTTGCATATTACGGCCTTCCAGCAGCTGGAATCATTCTTCTGGCCATGTTCCGACAGCAGGATATTCCCAGTTCATCGCAGATATCCTGGACCCGAGCGGTACAGGACTTGACCGTCTTTGTGGCGGAAATCGAAACAGGGTCGTTTATCAGACAAGGGGATCCGAATTATGCACTATTATCCAAAGCATCACAGACTATAAGGAGGTTCATTGACACCGTGCACCCTCAGGTTACTCATCGCCGTGTGGATGAGAGTTGGACTGGGTTTCTAAGCCAAGATCCGTGGGACTTCGAGTATTCCTTCTGGGAAAATCTGGCCGATCACCCCTCACTAGACACCTTGCCTAGTCTGTGATATCTCATTCTTTGATTACATTATAGATACGAGGTGAGACATCTTTCCCGCGCTAGGCGATGATGCGATCCACTCTATAATGGCCGTATCCGTGGTTCCGATCACTCCGACTGTCCAGCCTTTCTCCGGTCCGAAGATGGATGAATCCGACAACCCAATATATATAGATCGAAAATATGAACTCAGGCCCATGAGTCCTCGATCAACCATTCCAACAATTACCTATGGCCATTACATTATGACAATGTCAACAGTATCCATCGTGCACTCCCCCATACAATTAGCTTCGTCATGCTCTACCATTCCGGCCAATACAACACCAAGTCTAAAGGTACTATCCAACGACAATGGCAAACCCTTATCAAAATCCATGCAACACCATTTCAGTAGTGGAAGCAGAAATTTCTCCGGTTCATCTCTCAAGAAGCTAAGTGCACGGCTGCATGGACGTCAGGTTATCTCTCTCGGAACTGGGAGACCAACCGCCGACTTCTACCCATGGGAGTCTCTGACCTTTCGGGGATTGGTACCTCATCCACCAGCGTCCGGTACTACTAGTGTGAAAACCATGGAGTACACGGTTACAAAGCACAGCGACATATATAACCTATCTAACGGGTTGAACTATGGACCAACCCTGGGGTCACCACCCCTCGTTCGGTTTTTGACCGAACATGTGGAGATCATGCATCATCCGTCCTATGCAGACTGGAGTGTCAGCTTAACTTCTGGTTCGACGGCTGCTCTAGAGATTGGGTTCCGCATTTTCTGTGACCGGGAAGACACGGTTCTGGCTGAACGATTCACGTACCCCGGAGCCATTGAAGGGGCAAAATTGTTAGGTCTGAGATTCGAGGGTGTGGAAATGGATGTAGAAGGTCTTAGACCGGAAGCCTTGGAAAGAACCCTGCGAGAGTGGGATTTATCTCGAGGGTCGAAGCCTCGTGTGCTGTATACCATTCCCACGGGCCAGAATCCCACCGGCGCCACGCAATCGACAGAGAGACGACGAGCTATTTACGACATCGCCGAGGAACATGATTTGATCATTATTGAGGATGATCCATACTATTTCCTTCGCATGGGTGCCTACCGAGCCGATCAAGAAAGTACAAAAAAGACTACTGACTTCCCATCCTATCTCTCCCTCGATCGATCAGGCCGTGTGGTCCGTCTCGATTCAGTGTCTAAGATCTTAGCCCCTGGCCTCAGGGCTGGCTGGGTTACTGCAAACGCACAGATCATAGAAAAGTTCATTGCTTATCAAGAAGTCACGACAGTGGAAGTCAACGGCCCATCGCAGCTAATGCTATGGTCGCTACTAGAACAGACATGGGGTCATCAAGGCTTTGCCTCTTGGTTGGGCCATATATCTTCGGTCTATCGCACCCGACGGGATGCTCTACTGTGTGCTTGCGATCAATATCTACCTCGGGATCTTTGTACCTGGGATCCTCCAGAATATGGCATGTTCTTGTGGCTTCGTCTGAACTGGGAGAAACATCCTTCATTCAGGCGTGGCATGGAAGCAGTAGAGATGGAAGAGCTACTGTCTGAGATCGCTGAGAAAATTAACAACAATGCAATCGAGAATGGAGTGCAGGTTACAAAGGGATCACTCTTTACTTCGAATCAGAAGCCAAATGGGGAATTGCAGTTTCGGTTGACATTTGCGGCTGCTTCTGTGGAACAGTTCGAACAAGCTTTAAAGGCCTTGAGGGATGCTGTGAGGCAGGAGTTTGCGTTTACTTGCGAATAGGCCAGCTTCTGAAAACCGAGGGGAGTTACATGGTAGCAATTCATTCTCTATAAAGGTCACCTTGCCCGATTTCCTTGGACATCTCTCAACTATGTCTCATACTACTTGTACATTAGACTTGCAATCATATCTCAAGGTCTGTGGTGGTGCCAAATATAACGTTGTAGCCAAGACAGCACGATGACTATCCAGAGACAGCAACAATTCGACGCCGTCATAGTAGCAAACCTCGGCGGAACGCTTCCGACAAAGCCTCGAACTGATTACATTCTCTGTTAGATAGACAGCCCAGGTTGGCAAGTGTTGCTTGCTTTATTCAGGAATTGTGAGCCCCAAACCCTTTGCCGTTTGGGTTGAGCGAGAGAGCAGCCCCGCACTAGCAAGCGGCAGCAGAGGTGGAGACCCCGATTAAATGTCTTATAGATGGCTTCGGAACTAAGTAAATACGCCAGTGCCCCACGGTTGCAGGGGCTGGCTCCAATAACGTGTCAGTTAGACAATGCCATCTCCTTCTCATCGAACTAGGGGATTCGGGGGGTTGGGGGAGGGGGGAGGGGCGAGGGGGGCTAACTTAAGAATGCCATCTCATTTAACAAGGTTTCATTTCGACTTTTCCAACATCCAGTCCACTTCTGAATACAACATAATGAGTTCTTGTATCGGGGCAGATTGGGAATCCCGGGCTGCAAAATGCAGGGAGATCTTGGAACAATCTCTCCCGAAGTCCTATCTCCTCTCTCCGGATCAGATCCCCCCTGCATCCCAGACAAGAGTAATCGATTACCCCAGAGAAAGCGGTATATTGTCCGAGAAGGAACTGCTTATTACCGATAGCACAGCGGCTGGTTTGGTCTCCCAAATG